TTTTTAATCTTCAAACCGAGTAATATGTAACACAATTAAATTTAATAAACGATGAAGTTTTTAATTTTCAAATCGAATAATAAATTAGAGTATAAAGTCACTTAGACTTTAATTTCCGACAAATGAGTAGAAAGTCACGAAGACTTTAATCTCAACGAATGAGTAAAAAATCATGCAGATTTTGATCTCGAAGCATGAGTAGAAAATCACGAAGATTTTATTCTCTATAACGAGTGTAGAAAATCACGAGAATTTTAATTCCCTTTCCAAATGGTTTTTCAACTAAACCATTATAACACTTAAACAGTTCAATAGTTTCATCCTTTGCTCTAATCAAATAAATATATGTACATCTTTACATATTACTTTCATGATCTCAAGAATATTTTCAAAAAAAAAAATTAGTGTAAGCCTCATTCATTTCTTACAACTTTGAAAATAATACCCATATATGTTCATGCATGTTACCAAAGTACATATATTTCATTTGGTTAAGAAATAACAAAATTAACCTTTAATCATATGTTATTTCTGATCATCGTAACATGCAAAAATCATATAAAATTACTTGCCCTAACATTTATGGAAGCCGATTTCATAAATCATATAGAGCAAATAATTTAATAATAATAATAATAATAATAATAATAATAATAATAATAATAATAATAATAATAATAATAATAATAATAATAATAATAATAATAAAATAGAGCCAAGAAAGTAGAACCCGAATTTTGTTGCCAACTTAAAGTGTTGTTGCACTCTGCAATCTTTGCCATGTTGACACAAGGACTGTCAGATTTATAATCTCCTCTATTATAATCACCAAAATAAACCTTGAGAAAATTATGATGACCAGCCACATCAAAAATTAAATTCCTTAAGATTGTTGGTCTAACTGTGTTTAAAATCAGAAAAGTAAACATACATTAGTTCAATAAACAAAACATAAAATAATTCCGAGCCCACTAAATGCACAATGTCTCCTTAAGGAATTTAATCCCCTCACTGTTGCCCAAGGTATACGGATTAATTCCTCCTAGGATAGAACGGAATAAATATTCTGTGATAGCGGCACTTCAAATCACAGAACTTCAGCGAACTGTCACGACCCAATTTCCAGACCCGGTCGTGATGGCGCCTCTCGTGAAGACAAGGCCAGCCAACTAACCCAAATCGTCTCTTAAATATTTATTAAACATAAACGAATAGGTGAATATAGCTTAACGACAATAATAACCAGTATGTACAACCCAACACAACCTGACCGGGGTGTCACAAGTCACGAGCATCTAAAGAAAACCTTAACACAACTACAGGCCAATAAATATATACAAGTAAAGTTTCTGGAAACAAAAGACAACATCCGGTGCCGCGAACGCTGGCGGTCACCTTGCTCAGCTACAATAATAATACCTTCAATCCGCTAATAACCCGCTACCGGGTGAATGATACCTGCAACTGCACGCGAGGTGCAGGGAGTAAAGTGAGTACTTCCAACTCAGTGAGTAATAGAAGTAAATAATAACTGAGCAGCAAGAAATCACGTAAAGCAACCAACGGGATGTACAGAAGCCGGGTACAATTTCCGAGAAAATAGTGAAATCAGAGAACTCTTTAGAAATGTTTCGGCTCAGTTCAAATCTCTTTCGAAAATGGTCCTTTCAATAATTACGAAACTGTTCAAAATAGTTAGTGCTGATTAACACAGAAAATCCGCCCCTCGGGCACAAATATCACAGCATAGCAGGTAATAATGCAAATAGGTATGCAAGATGAACACATAAAAGTTCGCCCCTCGGGCATGAATTTCGTTACTAGTCAGTCATTATTACCTGACCGGTCAGCCATTGTTACCTGACCCAACGCGTGTTTCAGTGCCATTGTTATCCACTGGTCAGCCATTGTTACCTGACTGGTCAGCCATTGTTACCTGACCAAAACACGAATGACAGTGTCATTGTTACCACTGTCCAATTCTAAATGGGTACCCGCGCTCACTGTGGGTGTGCAGACTCCGGAGGGGCTCCTACAGCCCAAGCGCTATATCAACATAAGGCCTGAAAGCCTGTACATATCAACATGAGGCCTGAAAGCCTCCTCACAATACACTCGAGGCCTGAAAGCCTCCTCACATCACTCAGCATATCCTCACATATGGCCCTCGGCCTCAATCAGCCCAAAAATAATCATAAGCCCCTCGGGCATCAGTAAAGAAATAATAATGCTCAGCTCAAACAGTAGTTCAAATATCAGTTAAAACTCGAGGTTGAGTGAAAATATAGTTGCGTTCATGAAACAGTGTAATGACAATGGACTGAGTTCAAATAATATTTCAAATAGTGAGGAAAACAGTGATGATAGCTCATATGGAGTTCAAACAGTCGGCATTAAGCCCCAAATATGGCAATAAGCCCAAGTCCTAGTGAAAGACAACAAGTCATAGCGAAATACGCGGTAAAATCAACAACCGGGACGGACCAAGTCACAAATCCCCAACGGTGCTCTACCCCACGCTCTCTGTCTGGCATGCAAGTCACCTCAATATAGCACTATGGGTGCAAATCCGGGGTTTCAAACCCTCAGGATATCATTTACAATCATTACTCACCTCGAACCGGCGAAATCTCTAGCCCGCAACTCCTTTTCCACTCGAATCGGCCTCCACGCGCGTCGAATCTAACCAAAATCAGAGCGAATACATTACAATATGCCCAGGGAACAATACCCAATCGAAAACAACCAAGAAATAACAGAAATCTCGAAACTAGCAAAACCCGAGCCCCGGGCCCGCTTCTCGAAAAATTACAAAACTCACATTACCGGATTCCTCGTCTCGCCACGAGTCTATACATACCAAGAACTCCCAAATCCGAGCTCAAATGACCTATCAAATCCCAATTTGGAATATCAAAAACTCAAGCCCTAGTTTTACCCTTTTTTAATGAATTTCAACCAATTTCCATGTTACATCTATCATAACCTCATGTATTTAAGTCAGGGGACTTACCTCCAATCGATTCCCAGTTAAAACTCCCTTAAATTCTCGCCAAAAGCCCCCAAGGTCGCCCAACAATGGTGGAAATTATCCCAAGCTCGCGGATGAAATATTAAATAAAAACCCTTCTGAACAGTCCAGTTTTCGGTTCTGCGGTCCCGCTTTCGCTTATGCGGGACCGCTTCTGCGGCCAAATTTTCGCTTTTGCGGTCTTCATTAAACTTCCAAAAACCCGCTTCTGCGGTTCTACTTTCGCACCAGCGGTACCGCTTCTGCGGTCCGCTCTTTCGCTTATGCGGATCCTGCCTTCCATCTCCTCGCCGCTTCTGCGATAACAGCTCCGCTTAAGCGGCTCCGCTTCTGCGGTCCAAGACCCGCAGAAGCGAGAATACCAGAAACAGCATGCCTTCAGCTGTATGAAATTCCAAAAACTCCCCGTTAGCCATCCGAAATCATCCCGAGGCCCCCGGGACCTCGACCAAAGGCACCAACATAACCCAAAACATCATGCGAACTTGTTCCAATCATCACAACACACAAAACAACACTAAAATCATTAATTCACATCGAATTCAAGCCTAAGTTCTTCAAAAACTTCCGGAATGCGCTTTCGATCAAAAACCCAACCAATGACGTCCGAATGACCTGAAAATTTGCAGACATATCCAAAATCACCTAACGAAGCTACTGCAACTCTCGGAATTCCATTCCGACTCTCGGATCGAAATCTCGCCTATCAACCGGAATTCGCCAAAATACTAACTCCGCCAATTCAAGCCTAATTCTACACCGGACCTCCAAAATCAATTCCGATCACACTCCTAAGTCACAAATCACTTCCCGAAGCTAACTGAATCACCGGAAATCACATCCGAACCTTCTAACTCGTAAGTCAACGTCCGGTTGACTTTTCCAAAACAAGCCTTCCTTAAAGAGACTAAGTGTCTCATTTCTAATCAAAACCAATCCAAATCAACTCTCACACACCACATACCGATAACGAAACATGAAGAAGCAATAAACGGGAAAAACGGAGCAGTAACACATGAGACGACGGGTCGGGTCGTCACACGAACTCAACAAACGGAGCAAATCACACTTGACACTTATATTTATTTGGAAATAATGCAACAATATAGAAAAGAGGGGAGAAATTTTCAGGTTTTCCATGTCTGATTTTCATGTATAAAAAATGAGGCCAAGCCTCTAAATTTATAGACAAAGGAAGGGAGATATGGAGAGGTGCAATCTAAAAGGTGCCTCTTCCATTTCCCATTCACACCCCTTAATAAAAACGCAACACTTCTTAGCCAAACTGTTGCGTACGGACCTGAGATTTCTCTAAATGGTTTCGTGTATTGGCTTGCTACTTCAAGTGTGGAAAGCATTATTTATTTCGATTTGATTAAGGATGAATTCAAACTACTAGACGTTCCTGATGATCGTGGATTTCATCATACTAATATTCGCAGAAAACTTATGGTTGAGGGGATCTCTTGCCATGATGGTATCCGTTGACGATGGTTATAAGGACACTGAGATATGGGTGATGAAGACAAGTTATAATAATGGCATTCAACAGAACTCTTGGACTAAGAAATTCATTATTGAACCTTTCTCTAAAGATGCAATTCCATTTGGAATCTGGGATGCTGATAAGCTTCTTGTTGTGGTACATACTTTTATGCTCAAGCAAGTCTACACTTATGATCTTGTCACAAAAGGAATAGACTATTTTCATTTGCCTGAGGAACAAGAGTTTGCACCGTATTTGTCAGTGTATGGGTGTTATTTTGAAAGCTTGGTGGAACTTGGAGATAAATAGAGGATAACTGCAGGATATGAAGATTTCAGATAACTCCTATCACATGAACAAAAGCTGCAGCATATATATGGGAGAAGATTTCAGTAAAGGTCTTGCTCCGATTAGAAAATCTTTACAATATTGTGAAGCTTTGAATAAATACAGTGCAGGATTTTCAAGATCTAGTTTTCCAAGTAGAGCTCAATGATATAGCTTTGTCACATTGCTTCTATCAGTTAAGATTTAAAACAAACACACAAATGAGTACAAGAAATCACTACAATGAATACAACTGCTAACCTCCCCAAATGATTCAAGAAAGTTTCACCAACTCTTACATTGAGCTCACTAACACTTATTCAAATCCGCATTTGCTAAACCTCACCAAGTACCGATAACAATGAAGATCTGAATGGTACAACAAAAGCAGAAAATAACAAACCTCTCTATGATTATGAGGACACGCGTTATTCCTTCTCACTGACAGCAAGAAAGTCCATCCCACTGCTCCACTTCACTGCCGTAGAGATGGTTAACACCATTGTTAATATTGTTCAATGTGCTCAGTCAATCAACTGACCTCTTGTCACTGCTTTCTGACCATGTCTCTTTTCATAAGCACGAAAGGTAGCTTATTTCGATGTGGAAGCAGACGTTACACTTATGTTGTTCCACATTTGTGATGTTCTCTTTTTTGGATTTACAACAACGTAATGAAGTAATGAAAATCAATTGCCAAAAGCAAGTGTGCCAACCAATGGACTGGCAAACCAAATAAATAATTAGATTAGTTGAATTACTATTTACTAGGAATGCTATACACCTGTAAGCAGCCTTGATGACCAATACTAAAGTAACAGAATCAAAACTTGAAACAGTAAATAAGGATAAATACTAGAGCAAACCAATCCAGTACACAGCTTTTTATGAACAAGTTTGGCTTCTCAACTCAGTTTCTGTAGGCAGGCAATTAAACCAAGCTGGAATAACCTATCAAAGGACACAGAATAAGAATCATGGGGAAAATTACATTGGAGGAATATTGACCGTCAAAATGTTATGATCCAACAAAAAATTTCAGGAGTAGTAAGTTCATTGAATTGGTTAAAAGATAGCATCTTCCTCAGCTGATTGAATGGATTTCAATTCCGTCTCCTGTTGAGGCAAAAGATATGACCATGTTGATTCCATAGTGGATGATGGTAGTGTTTGCTGAAGATGTCTCAATACATTAATCATGCGATTTGCAGTTTCTTTTGTAGCTAGTTCCTTTTCAGAACATAGAACCTACAGAAGAAGTAACAGTCAATACCAAATATTTACATATACATAAAAGGTTACCTTCGACAATATACTGAGACTGGCTAGAGACCAGTTAGTTGAATTGAAAATTTGAAAACGGGGCAAAAACAAAAATACAGATAAATGTAATTCTTCAAATTTCATAAGGTTTTAATACTTTTCTTACAAATAATAAGCAAAAGAATCAAAGTTGCAAAATCTATATATCTATCAAAAATGAACAACTTAATCTAGCATCTTTGATTTCAAACTGACCTCTGCAAAAACTGAAACAACTTTTGGAAGGTATTGGTAGTTGGGACCTAGAAGTTCTCTGTCTGACCTGCAAGTGAGAAAATTGGTTAACATTAGAAGACTAAAAAGGCGTTAATACACGAGACTTCAAGTTAATGTTTAATTTGTTTACTGAAAACACAGTAACAACTACCAGCAAGATGCTTTTATCAAGTTGGATCGCGGCATCAGAGAAGTCAATTATCATCTGTATTAAATGGTTTCACCACCTATAGAAATTTTTCTTATACCAGAGTATAACTAATGCAGTTGCACTATCAATAACTTGAACTAGTTACTACACTATTAATATACCAGTTCAAACGTTTTGTCTGGCAAACAAACAATTTTATCTTGGGAAGACGTTTCTAAACATATGTTCTCATTTGTAATGTTCTCATTTTTGTTTTACAACAAGGTAAAGAAGTTAATTGATAAATCATATTGATACAGGAATACTATAAAGTAATGAAAAACAACCACAAAAAGCAATTGACCAATATTGCTGAGGTAACAAAACCAAGACTTGAAATAGTAAAGTAAGAGTAAATGAGGATAAAACTAGACCAAAAGAATCCAGTACCTTTCGACCATTGAACATAACTGTTCGTGAACAAGTTTGGCTTCAACCAAATCAGCTTTTATAGGCAGGCAATTCAACCAAGCTGGAATAACCTACCAAATGAGTTGGAAGAAGAATTATACATGGCAAAATTACATTGGAGGAGCATCATTTCATCTATAAAGACCAGAATCATTATGTTTTACCAAAATTTAATGGTGAGCACATTCACAATGAAACAAAACCTTATCAAAAGGTATTAACAAACAACACACTAATCACATGAAGCAAATATTTGCAGTTAATTTCCTTAACATATGAAAGTGTCTAAAGTTCCTTTTCTACTGACTGAACCACATTCAACTATAGTTTATAGTTGGAAGGACAAAAGATCTTAGAAATCTGTATATGAATGTATCATCTGAGAAAGGAGAAAGAATCTCAGAATACATGTATGCCAAAAAATACGTGATATCTTCCTTTTTCGCATGTGATTACTAGTAGAAGGAATTAGTTGGGGGTATCTAAGAGTTAGGAGAACAAAATAAAAACAAGAGAATAAAATATAAGAATGCATAACCAAAAAAAAGGACATATACCTGGGCTGAGTCGATACTTTCACCATGAAACTGATATATCTTACCAAGTGTAGAGACAGCATTATCATATGCATTTTCATTTTCAGGTTCACGAGCATTTAGATGCGTAAGGACTACATAGATCCTTGAAAGAGCCTCTGGTTCAGGTCAAAAGTTTAAGTAAGCACAACATACATATCACTTCTTATTCCCTTCTCCATGATGAAAAGGATCTCAACATCACATTCAACAATATCATACCTCCAACAAAAGGTTGGAAGAAAGACCGACCATATTCCGCCCAAAGGCCAAGTCCATAAAGAGCAGTCTGAACAAAACATCAATGAAAGCACTTAGCACAAATAGCAAATGGTTGACTGGAAACTTTTGCAACCACTAAGATTGACAAACCTGTCTAACATTTGGGTCTTCATCATTGCTTGCTTCCAAAACTAAAGGAAGACATACATCGTAGTACCTAATTTTCACATGACGCAATTGTCAATTTTGGGAACCCATTTAAGAAAAACCCAATACAAATATATAGACCTACTTTAGAGCTGCTTCAGGGCACTCCTCCACAAGAGAATCAAAGATGAGAATAGATATACGTCTCTCGTTAGTTGTATTATCCTTGGCCTTCAAAAAGCAAGAAAAATTGAATGTGGGAAGCAATAAGATATAAACAACCAAGAGTGTTAAGATGATATTGGTTATAACTTACCCACATAGGTAATAAATATGGCGACAACTCGTCAAGGAAAGGCAAGAAAGAAGCCTTGAAAGCTTTGATCAACGTGCCCAATATTTCGCCAACCTAATAAAAAAGATAGTATTATTTGAGAATTATGGTAGATTCAAAGTGAGATGCTTGTAGAAAGACAACATTGTGTGCTTAATGTCTGAAGTCTATTCTTATATAGAACATACATAGCTAAGAACTTCTTCTTCTTGTTTTCTTTCCGCACTCAATAATTCAGCTTCCTCAGCATCAAAGTCTTCTGTTTTCTCTCTCTCTCTCAGTTCATTTTTTCTGCTTGAACTTTCTGTAATGACATGCTTTATCTCATTGACGATGCTATGAACCTGACTTTCAGTGAGAAGTGGTCCACATAGCTGAAAACATGTACTACAAAAGGATCATTAAAACAGAAATACTTCTTTTGCCATTTTAACTTGCACTCTGCCACTGTTGTTGTCCCTTGCTTTGACACTACTAAAAAAGCATTGAAATAAGTTGACTTAACAGGGATTTGCTGAAAGAAGGTTTCTATGGAGTCCATGTAGTACAAATTTAATAATCGTTCTGTCAGTCTCACTAGTCTTTCCTAGTCATGTCAAGAGAACTTTTGTGATTACGCTATCTGTCGTAAATTTGATTTAAACACCACTTTAAGCATTTTATTATGGTTTAACCATGCCTTTGAAGGTATTAATTCTTCCTGTGTTCACACACATAACAAGATCTATACAAGAGCTGAACAAAGCTTTCTTTTACTTCTATAGTAGAATATAGTAACTTATATGACTTTGAACGATGTCTTGTTTAGATCTTTAGTCATATATCGACGTGGCCAGAAAAATTGGAGTTATTTATTTTGTTGGAATGTATAGGCAATAGCTAGATCATATTGGAATATAAAAAGTTAAAACAGAAATATACTGCCATCATAGGAAAAAACTTGCTAACCTGCAGACAATTATTCAATTCATACAACATGATTCCACATATTTCTGTCATAGGCTCCTGCGTGAGATAACATATTAAGTGTCACTTTCTCTTTATCCAAATCGACCAAACTTAAAAAATTTACCAACCGATAAAAAAGAAAGAAAGAAACAACATATACTGATGTTAAGACAACCTCATGCAAAGCCTCTACCAAAGCCAGTACTATATAGTCTGACAACTTTGTGAAATATGACTCACTTCCACCTTGAGCAATCCCTTTCTCAACAGCCAGCTTAGCAGAACTCAACAGGAGGGACATGGCTTAGACAGCAAAAAAAAATTAGAAAATTGCTTCAGCAACAGGAAAATTTACATGAAAACAAAGAAACCATATGAAATCACGACAATTCTCACCATTAACAGCATATATCCTGACATCATTGCGGGCATAGAATATCAGAAGAGGGACAAAAATTGAGACAGCCTGTTTAATTTCATGCACCATTTCACTTGTTTAATTTGACTTCACTGAACAGCACATGAGAAAAAGAAAAACATATATGCAGATGACCATTCATGTCAACCTGAGAAATCCATGGGTAGAAGTCTTCCTTTAATATTTCAGCACAAAGGCATAGCATAGCACAACCGCTAGCTTTCACCTTTAGAACATCTCGTTTCTTGGCTTTCTCTATACTGCAAAATGCGAAGCTTAAGTAAAATCCTAGGTACTCCAAAATAACTACCTCTCCCAGAAGTCTTACTACTTGATAAATCCAAAGAAAGAACCAAATATTAATCATATTCAGAAGAAGTGATTATTTAATTAGCCGTTGTAGGGTAAGGCAGAAACAGGTGCATCGGAAGAATTTGAAATTAGGATTTGGCAATCCAACTCAGACTTTGAGTCAGTAGCATGTGCAGAACATAGTGAGTAGAGGCTTGATGATGGATTACTTGTCATAAAACCCTTTCTCTCTACGGTGCTACTCTGTAGTTCAAGCTTTTGGTCGGCATCCTTACTAGTTTCATCAGTTAATGCAGAATCATATGCAAATAGTATACACCGAGAGATTCCATCTTGTATACTACCGGTTAGTTATTCCAATACCTAGTGGTTAGCATCATGTTTATCATTAATGTAGATACACGACTGTGAGAATACGGCTCTGATATTATTTGAAAGAATTTGAGCATCCAGCTTAAAACCTTAAGCAATAGGTGGAACGGAGTCCCAGATCTTTATTAGACCCTTTGGATGCCCGTTTATACACGACATAGTTCATCTATATAACTCAACCAAAAGAAAAGAAACCTAAATGAACTTGGAAAAAGTCAAACCTCAATGATAAAAGCTTACCTATTATCATCTAATTCATTAGTTCCATAGTCCGACTGCGTAGAGATGGTCATAGCAGGTTCAAGTTGAGCACATTGAGTAAAAAAGGGCATGACTGCACTCATATAAGGAAGAAAATCATGTCCAAGGCAATGACAAATTCCAGTATATGCCTGCAATGAAATAAAGAAAATAAAGAGTGGCCAATCCAAAAAGAAACTTTGATATTAAAATTAAGTGATTAACACATACTGTTAGCAAGTCAATAATAAGAGGACCGTCCCCTTTCGCTTGTAATCCTTGTAATGACATAAGCACTTCCATAACCTTTAATGACAACAACAGAAAGGAAATAAAGAAAAAGTAAGCTCTATGTTGAGAAATGATTAAAGAAAAATAAGCTCACACCATCGCATGCCAAGACAAGAAAAAGAATTCCAGGAGAGGCAGAAAGGTATCCCTGACATTATTGCTGAAAGATGTAATAACTCAAACAAGAGTAATCCATACTTTGGGATGGAAATAAAACAAGAACGAACCAATCCCAAGGAGTATGGAACTAAAAAAGATGTGTTCACTATCCCATTATTAGTATGGCATCAATATACGTGTTCAATCAATGGCATCAATATACGTATTCAATACTGGGGCATAATTGGTAGAAGACCTGCTTTTCGTCGCCCCTAAATTTCTCTTTGCCAACAGCCTTAACAACAGCGCCTATGCACCCTACTGCAGTCTGAAGAATGAAATTAGATTTCAGATCTGTGTTCCTCAGGACAGTTTTCAAGTGTGACATAACAGTGTCATAGTAGGTTCCGAAGTGCTCCTGTTGACGTATAAAATATTAATTTTCATGATTCATGATATCAGTAGAAATAGAACTGAGTCAAAAAGAAATGCACCAGTTAATACCTCAACAGAATGCGATATACTAGCTAATGCAGTTAATGCTTGTTGTTGGACTATTGGTTTGTCGTTCTGCATTTCAAGCAACAAAAAGCCCAAAAAGACATCATTAGTCTCTTGCACTTGTTAGCAGTGAAGTACCTACAATATGGTGCCTCTATATTCGCGCACCTGTAGAAGTACAAGCAGTTTACTAACTATTCCATCTAGGTAAGATATTGAAGTTTCTGGCTTGCCGAGCACACAGAAGAAGCAGAGAGCTCTAGTGGAAGATGCCTATAGAAATGCCAAAAGAAAGTAAAGACCAAATTAGTTGGCATCAGCAACTGAATGGAGGAGTAATGTCGCATCTGTCAAATCTGTAGCCTTATGATTTTTTTCCAAACTTTATTTGAAGGGCTTTAGATTCATCCCCTGACATGATCTCATATATTACAATCATTCAATGTTCTTGTAAGTCAGCAAGAAAGCTCTTATTGCAACCAAAATAATGTCAAAATAAAATTTTCCAGAAACACAACCAACAAGTTAGATAAAACTTCAGTACTAATTGTGCAAAATTCCCGAAGGGATGTTACACAATACATCCTTAATTGTATGGTATATGCAACCCCCTTGTAAAGGTGCAGTAGGAAAAAGACTTTTGCTGGTTGTTTCATGTATCAATGATAATCTAATCTATTTTTAGTTTGACATTGTTCTTTGGGAAAACTTGCAGCATCCTTAAATTGTACATAACACATAGGACAGACCTGCACTTGTGGATGAACATCATCCATAGCTGCAGTTAATGCATGGATTATTTGGTTATGATATCGTTCTTGCATATCTGGACCGAAGTAAATCAATAATGAGGAAATTGCCCTACAAGCAGCCCATCTAACTCGAGGATGAGGATCTTCGAAACAACTAAGAACCATATCAACCACCTGCTCCAAATTCATAATCATCACCTGTAATAGGAAAGAAGCCATGATTCCAAGGTAATCGCCTAAGAGAAAACAAAATCTATGAGATGACTTTAAACAATAAACATAATGTAAAGTATTCTGGTAAATTAATAGGACGAGGGAAAACTATCTTATAAATTTCAGCAGTTTTCCAGCAAAAAACATAGCTTAAACGCTACGAGTTGAAATAATATACTATGTTATAATCAAACTATAGCCATTATAAATATAGAACTAAGATATGTATGGTTGTACCTTTGAGCAACCTTTAGCAATGAAATCAAGTGCAAAGATAGCTGCATGGCGCTTCTCCCACTCTGGATCATCCAAGTAAGTGCATAGCTGCTCTATGGCAATATGAGCAATAGATTTACCTCCTAATGCACGAGAAAACCGATCTAAACACTCTTTACCAAATCTGAAGTTACTTGTTTCCCCTGTATCATCTTTCATGATCTCGACACTATGCCAAGCAGTGTCATCCTTAACATCTAGTAATAACTTCAATAACAATGTAAAACATCTACTAATAAACAAGGGCAGCCTCTTCATCATACCAGGGGCCCTATTTCTTGTCTCAACCAAAGTAATCAAAAATTCAACTGCCAAGTGCCCCGTCCCCTCTTTCAAACGCTCGTCCTCTGCTATCTCAAACATGGTAGACACCACATCCATTAGCTGCCTCCTCAAGAACCTAGGCTCATACTTGGCAAACTTCATGAAAAGTTTCAGCACGTCGTGTGCTGCAACCTCCTCATCACTGTTGCTCAATGTATCAGTCAACCTTCTCAGTAGAGCTGGCAATAGCTCTTGAAACCGCTCCTTTTGATTTGAATTTGATACGCATTGAAATTGAATGAAGGTTATCGCAGCAGTCATGCCCGCAATCCTATTATCAAGATCGAGGGTATCATCATTTAGTGTATTAAGTAACCGTGAGTGCACATATTTTACCCAAGGGACTACTGTGTCGCCTAGGTCGTGAGCTAGTTGCCCAAATATAGAGAAAGCTGACTCTATTAACTTGTATGAAGATGAATCAAGGCATTGGTACAAGAATGGCAATAGTTCAGGCCAGTCGTTACGTGGGAGAAGTGAAGCTGCTAGACCCGAAACAGTGTCACCGAGGTGTTTGAGGATGGATTCTGATTCTTCAATAGAAATACGCTTAAGGAGAATAGCTTTAATGGTGGATTGAGTTGAAACACTTAGATTCCACCAAGTGGACAAGTCACTATCAGAAGTAAGCAACTTCTTAAGGAAGACGGCACACTTCTCACGGAAATCAATGTCAGAGTCGTAGATAAAGATAGAAAGCTTAATAGCAAGGGAGTCAGGATCTTTGGTGCTCCACATGTATTCAGAAATAAATGTTTCGAACGGAACATCCATTACTGTATTTTGACAAGAGAGAGGAGTATGGAGATGTGTGAATGCGGTATATCTAGCATTAAATCAAATGAATATATAGAAAAGATGTTTCCCACCGATACCATATGAAAAGGTGAAAAGTATAGGCACAGACGAAGGAGGTATTTCTAAATATAGTAATCTCAAATTATTTGTTAGTATTTTAAAAGTTCAAAGAAAGTAAATTATATTTTTTTCCATTTTACTCTTAATATAATTGTGCTTTAAAATAGAGATAGCACATAAATATAATGAATATTCATTGAAGAGACATTATATTTTAAAGACATAAATAATAGTAAAATAGTCCAACTATGCTCCTAATTAATATTTTTAAGAAGCGTGTAAAAGAGAAACACGACAAATAATTTGAGATGCGGGAATAATTTGAGACGGGGAATACATACTAAGGTCAACTCTCCTTATTTTTCATTAAGGCAGGGTCTTAAGTAGGTAGTATTTTTTACATACAAGTGGCATCAGGTGATCCCAAGCACTCTCTCATATTTTAACTTTTAAATTAGGCAAATCAAGAAAACAGTAAATGATAAACACGAAAGCATCTCTCATATAGGGTAAAGCGAGGCAGGGCGACATGGTCTAAACATAGGGGATCTAGGATTTATAGTACATGGATGTACTATTAAAAAAATAATATGCATTAAGTGGGAATTGGTCATTATTCCGCTTGGTAAATAATTAACTAAACCATTCAACCTTCTTGGATGCCAACAGTTAGTGTACACATAATCTCCCCTATAAATCCGCCCCTGGATCTACACCATTTCCATTTGTAGAGGTGCATGAAATGGGCTTAGATAGTCAACTGATCCTTTCGGATACACGAAAAGGAAGGGACAAATAGACCAAATCAAAATGAAGAAATAACTCAGGAAAACAAGATCGCTGGGATTTTTGGCACAACAAGTTTGCTAATTTTATTTCTTGATATATTTAAAAGAAGGATTCTCCTGAACCAGAGTGAGCTCCTAACAGGACTCAATGAAAGGAGAATTTCCTCCTACGTTATGCTGTTTTACAATAGAGGGGTGCAAACCGGATATAGAAACAAATGGCAGCAAAAATATCAGAAATAGAGAAACAAAACTGTAATCAAAGAAACAACAATAAAAGAAAATGACTACACCCGAACTTTGGCAAAAACATTTCTCCATAAGACCGCTCTCCCCAAGAGAATGATATTTGTGAGAGAATCGAGCATCAAAATGATTGATTCGCACAAGTTCACTGGACTTTAGGTTTCATTGTACTGATAACAAGTTAGCATCATCGGTTAGGTGATAGAATGGATTCCAACTACATCTCCTGCGCAGGCAATAGCAAAGGACAATGTTGATGCCCATGTGGCCGCTGGTAGTGTTTTCTGAAAATTCCTCAAAAGAATAATCATGCGTTTTGCAGTTTCTTCTGTAACAAGATCCTCTCCATCACATAGGACCTAGGAAGAATCAACTTTAATTTCAATCACGGATGGCTACATATATATAGAGGTTACTTTGATAAAAATGCCACAAATATCACGAGAGAGTATTAATGTTAGTAGATCTAGATCACAAAACTATCTTAATGGCATTTGACACAAAAAGGAAAAGAACACAAAGGACAATGATAAGTGAAGCACCCAAACTCCACTCTCGCACAGCTCAACTTCGAATAGGAAAACAAAGGCAAAAGGAGATGGTATTCACTAGTTCTACTTCCAAACTAACCTCTACAAAAACTGAAGGTATTCATAGTTGGGACCTAAAAGTTCTCTGTCTGACCTAAAACTGAAACAAAGGCGCATATTTTTATCAAATAACATATCAAGTGTCAATTTCTCATTATCCAAACCGAAGTTAAACATATTACTCACCCAAAAGATAAAAAACATAAGTACATATGTGAAGGACAACCTTGTGCAAAGCTTCTACCAAAGACAGTATTATATAGTCTGACAACTTCGTGAAATATGACTCGCTTCCACCTTGATCAATCCCTTTCTCAACAGCCAGTTTAGCAGAAAGCAACAGGATTGACATGGCTTGAACCTTTGTCTTTCAATATATCAGCGTAACAGCATAGCAATAATTACAGGCTCTAGCTTTCAACCTTTTAGGTTAAAGGGGTGGGAAATTATGCCTTAGTTTCTGGCCTTTATCTCTTCTACATTCTTTCTTTTTAATATGTATTTTGGATGATCAAAATACCTAACATATCAACTATATGTCTAATTAATAAAGGGTCTCTGGAAATTCTTTTCTTTATCTCAATTTTCAAGGACTAATGATGATGGCATTGTATTTTTAATAAGTATCATTAAGTGGTGGCATTGTTCATCATCCTAGAAAGGCACATTTTGTCATTTTTGCAGACCAAGAATCATTATTGGTTCCGCAAAAAGCACAAAAATGATGTATTATGCTTATCTTGACAAGAGTGGTCTTAATTAGACAAATTAATATACCACCAAAGGTTACAGTGAAGTGATAGGTACTCATTCATCGTTAGCAAAAGATTTCGGTTCGAACCTTGAAACTAGAGCCATTTTCGGTAGGGAACACTTTACTCTCAAAGTAAAACTTTCTAGCGTGAATCCGAATTAATCAGGTCCAAATTAAAATAGTAACCAACAACCGGTGAAATCCAAAAATATTTTGAAAAATAAAGAAGATGAGTTCAGCTCAAAGATGGTAAAAAATAATACTAACAAAAGTTATAAAATCTTTTCTAGAATTAACATTTTAACAACTTCACAAGAAAGGGAGAAAGAGAAAGTTTAAAAATGAGTAAGACATGCTAGCCAGTACATATAAGATTCTAGATAGAATGTCATTAAAATACAAATGTAAGTATAATAAGTATTAAGTAAAAGAAACAAAAGTCAAAAATAGCATAATTTTTGGTGGATTAGGACAACTAAGTTGCAATCACGAAGCTGGCCTGCCCTTTTGGTTTTACTCTTTTCATCATTTTCTTAACTACTTGTTGTACTTCTTCCCTCCAAAAATCTGCCATTTGGATACATCCCATACTTATAACTAAAATTAAGAAAGCAAGATATCATCTATAAAGTTAGTTTTATGTAGACTATAGTAGGTACAAGAGAATCTTAAGGTTGCACGCTGCATTTTATAAACTTAAACATAGGGGAGCTTTTTTTGTTAGTTGGTGATCTGTTTTAGCTGAAAGATGCCCTGAAATGGAGAAATGTCACATCAATATTTCATGGATATGTAAGATTGATTAGTTTGATGCATGAGTCTTGCTAGATAGCTGGTGCACTAATTAAAAGGCTTGATATATGCCTAAACATAAATCTAAAACCAGAATATAAGGTAACAACGGCTTGCAGGAGCAAATACAAAGATCTATTTATACGTCACAATTCTAAACCAAGATGATATAAGTTGTATGAATCATTAAAATATTAGGTACTGACTCTCTTAAATAATAAAACCCCGGAATTGCCAAAATGTTATACGCTAGTTTGACTCGGCTAAAATAGGGTATAACAACCACCATCCAAAAGAGCTGTAAGAGTATTGCCTTTGACATGAAAAAGTTACTATTGTCACAGGAAGATAAAAAGAATGATAATATGATGAGCTCCATGCTAAGTAGAGTACTCAAACTGAGAATTGAAAAGATAAGTGGGGAGTATTTATCGAACAAATTAAAGCATCAAAACTACAACGAACATAATCCAATTATTCCTTCAATGATGTTTGGAGGATTAGTGCTTTTAAGCAGTATACAATACATGTAGATGTTGCAGAATATCTTCAATCCTTTGTGCTAACAACTGATACACTCGACTCTTTTAGCTGAAGAAATGACACACTGTTACAACTTACATAGTAGTATGCGTGCTGGAGTTGGGGAGTGCGAAAATTGTTAGATATAACAAACCCAACATCTGAACCATCCCCCTGGAGTAATCACACAAGATAAGCTAGGATATTACATTGGAGAATTATCGATCATCAAAATGTTTGCTCCAACAAAAAATACAGTAATAGTAGTTTCATTGAATAGGTAAAAAGTTAGCATCTTCTTCAGGTGACATAATGGATTTCAATTCCATCTCCTCCCGAGGCAAAATATATGACCATGCTGATTCCATGGTGACTACTGGTAGTGTTTGCTGAAGATGCCTCAATGCATCAATCATACGAATTGCAGTTTCTTCTGTAGCAAGTACCTTTTCAGAACACAAAACCTACAGAAGTAACAGTCAGTTACTGCTTGTTTCCATAAACATAAAATTTAGTTTGATAAAGGCTACATTCCACGATACAGTGAGACAATCATATTGGCAAATTAATTTAAAGGACAAGGGAAGTAAATAAGTGAATGCTATTTAAAGTTAGATCCTTGAACAGTATTGCTACATATTGGTTTTTTCTACTCTACTCTGATAATATTTTACCTTGTTTTTTTATCCGATATTTGCAGCTACAGAGTGCTGATAGTCAAGAAATACAGAATGCAATTCATAGAATTTCATGAGGCTTTAATGCTTTTCTTACAAAAATAAATAAAAGAATCACAGTTGCAAAATCTTCATATCTGTCACAAATGAACAAGTCAGTCGAGCATCTAGATCAGCTTTGATTTCACACTGACCTCTGCAAAAACTGAAATAACTTTTGGAAGGCATTCATAATTGGGACCTAAAAGTTCTCTGTCGGACCTGCAAGTGAGAAAATTCAGTAAACAGTAAAAGACTAAAAGGCGTTGATATATGAGATCACATATTAGAATTTGGTATTCATGTTAATGTTTAGTTTGTTAGTTCAAAACCTAGATAAATCTCAGTAACAACCACCAACAAGATGATTTTGTCAAGTCAGATCTGTATTTAAAGGTTTCATCGCCTAATGAAATTTTGTTATACCAAATATATCAAAACTGTTGCAGAAGCACTGTCATTAACTTGTAAACTAGTTACTACAGTATTAATATATTGCTTCAATAATTTCGTCTGACAGATGTTTTCTTAGTTTTCCCTAAATCTAAAATTACAGAATTCGTTTAAGACAGATACATTCTTTTGTTAAGAACTATTACAATTTACAATCTCTTCTACAGAAAAGATTTCTAATAACATGTTGCCATTTGTGAATTTTGATATTCTCTTTTGTGGTTCACAACAACATAACGAAAAACAATTTCCAAATGCAATATAATTGCATTAATTGCTAAGAACTGAGTTTCATTGTTACCCCTGTTAACAGCCTTAATGACCAATGCTAAGATATCAAAACCAGTCTAGAGTAAATGAGCATAAAGACTGAGCAAACCAATCCAGTACCTTTCAACCATTGAACACAACAGTTCATGAACATGTTTGGCGTCATCCAAGTCAGCTTTTATAGGCAGGCAATTCAACCAAGCTGGAATAATCTGCCAAATGCCTTGGAATAAGAATTAGGGGAAATTACAAGCATAGTAGACTACTCTTGTAAATCTCTGTATGCAGGCTTAAAACAAGCATCACACGACTATATCCATGGTCGTTAGCAATTGTTTCTCAGGATGATTCAATTGACTTACTGACTTCTAGATTTTATTAGACTAATACTGAAAAGACAACTATCTGATCCAAACATAATGACATTACTTAAACTTTTTGATGCATGCCATGAAGTACCCAAAATTTATAACTGAAATTTTGGAATGCCAACTCAAACATGTATGAGTTGAAGGTATAAGAATGCATCAACAGATAAAAAAACATACCTGGGCTGAGTCGATAATTTCACCATGAAACTGGCATATCTTACCAAGTGCAGAAACAGCATTATCATATGCACATACATTCTCAGGTTTAAGAGCATTTTTATGCATTATCACTACGTTGATGCTCGACAAAGCTTCTGCAGGTTCAGGTCATAAGATTAAGTGAATACAAAAGAAAAACATATAACTTCTTTTCCCCTTATCCATGATGAAAATGGTCTCAATATCAAATTTAACAATGTCACCTTCAACAATGTGTTTGAAAGAAGTACGACCATATTCCGCCAAATTCCAAGTCCATAAAGAGCAGCCTGAACATGACATCAGAGTAAGCACAAGTAGCGAATGCAACTTGACTTAAAGCTATTACAACCAGTAAGATGTACAAACCTGTCTAACATCTGGGTCTTCATCATTGCTTGCGTCCAAAACTAAAGGAAGACATACATCATAGTACCTAATTTTGACAGGAAGTAACAATCAGATTTTGGAACCCATATTTGAAAAATACTCATACAAATAGACCTACTTCAGAGCTGCTTCAGGGCACTCCTCCATAAGAGCATCAAAGATACAAATAGATGTACATCTTTCACTAGGTGTTTTCTCCTTGGCCTTCACACAAGCAAGAAATATTGGATGTGGAAAACAATAAGATTTAAAATGGAAAAAACAGCTAGAGGTTAAGATGACATTGGTTATAACTTACCCACATAGGTAGTAAATATGATGACAACTCATCAAGGAAAGGCAAGAAAGAAGACTTCAAAGATTTGATGAATGTGCACAATATTTCACCAACCTATTAAGAAAGATAGTATGATTCAAAATACTGGTAGATTCGAAGTGAAATACTTATAGAAAGACAACATTGTGTTCTTATAATGCATGAACTCCATTCTTATATAGAACATACATTGCCGAAAACTACGTCTTCTTGCTTTATTTCGGCCTCCCTCAACAATTCAGCTTCCTCAGCATCAAAGTCTTCTGTTTTCGCTCTCTCCGTGAGTTCTGGTTTTCTATCTGAGCTTTTTGTAATGACATGCTTTATTTCATCCACGACGCTACGAATCTGACTTTCACTGAGAAGTGGTCCACAAATCTGAAAGAAGATACAGAAAGACCACAATAGCAGAAATATTCCTTTGCGTTTTAGCTTGCCTTCTGCCACTGTTACTCTTAATTTGACACTACTATGAAATATTAAAAATAATATCCATAAGTTGGCTTATGAAGCCAATCTATCACAAAGTCAATACGCCGAGAGGACTTTTGTGATTACGCTATCTGTCAATGTTTAAACATTTTATTATGGTTTAACCATGTATTTGTAGGTATGAATTCTACATGCATTCACACACATAGTAAGAATCAAATAAAGAGGTCCTCCTTTACTTGATCCCCTGAACATATTAGCGTGCAAGTCAT